ATAATCCAGCCTAGTGTAGATGCTTCTCTGCTCAGGACCTCATGAGGCTGAGATCAAGGTGCTGGCCACTACATCATCAATTGGAGGCTTGGACAGCAGAAGGTCAGTATGTAGGTACCCTCAGGGTGTTGGCAGACTTTCCTTGTTGGAAGACTAAGGTTTCATTGTGTGGCCAGCAATTGGCTGTAGGTTGCTAGCCACTGTCCTTTGGTTCTTATAATGCGACCCCCTCCACAGATCTTTTCAAACTGAAATCATTTACTTTAAGGGGATTTCAGTACACTTTAAGGGCTCACCTAATCAGCTATAGCCATTGGGAATAATTATCCTCTTATCAAGTGAAAGTCAACTGATTTGGGGATCTTGCATCTGGATACCCCCCCCCCATGCCTTCTAGTATAACTTGATCGCAGCATAGGCAAGCTCTCATTGTATTCACAAAGAAAATCTGGCTCATACTCAGGTGGACTATAGTATGTATGTGCACTAGAGTGGGAAACCCAGAGGCCATCCTAGAATTCTGCTTGCTCCTCTTTACCTATCTGGTATTTCCCAATTCTGGGGAAAGACTACTCAAAGCCTCCAAGATGGCGGCTGTGTAAAGTGCTTCCGGCTTCAGTGGAAAGTTTTGCTCTCTGTATCAGCACTGTGTTGCCTGCGACACTGGTAAGCCCTGTGTGTTTCCTACATTTCTCCTTCCTCTGTCTCTCTTGTTAGGGTGCGTCCCAAGAAGAGACTCTTGCGACAGCTCCTGAGGTCAGGACTGAAACAGCATCTGTTTATAGTCCACATGTTGTCACTCATCGGATGGCTCACCTTGCTGGCATGAGGCCACATCCACACCTGCAGCCTCTCCACCTTGCCTGGCTCTTCCCTCAGCTCCTTCAACTCCCACACGAGGTGTGAACATATTGAACTCCACAACGAAGCCTCCTAGCTTCTGCAGCCCATCCGTGTCATCCAAGGTCAGAGGTCATTGGAACTGATGAATTTCAGTATCAGTTTGTTCTCATAAACCCCCGATGACGATGGCAGGTTCCTGAGTACTCTTGATGTCCCTCTCTTGGTGACCGCCCACCATCTTCTCTTCCTGATCTTCTTATGAACTTCAAGTTTCAGGTATGAAGCAATAAATCTGTCAGAGGCAGCCAAACAGCTCCTAGAACTGCACAAGGCTGATTCCTGAAATATATTTCCTCATATAGACACATAGGTAATACATACACATGTCTATGTGTATGTATTATTTATGCAGATTATACATAGAGATATATGGTGTAGATATATATGTGATTATACAACTGCTGTATGTAGTTTTGCTTCTCTGCACCCTAAGCAGTTTTTGTATGAATTTTCACCAGCATTACAGCTTTCCCAGTGAGCTATGCTTTTTGTCGAAGTAAAATTTTCCCTTTGAACATTAAATAGTTTATGTCTTCTAATTTAAATAATAATCATCACTCCCATTTTTGTGTTTGTTCACTATTTTTGCTTGCCCCTCAGTTTTCAATCTGTTGAATAAAAATTAGATCGACAAAGATTAGCCGGGCGGTGGTGGCACATGCCTTTAATCCCAGCACTCGGGAGGCAGAGCCAGGTGGATCTCTATGAGTTCGAGGCCAGCCTGGGCTACCAAGTGAGTTCCAGGAAAGGCGCAAAGCTACACAAGAGAAACCCTGTCTCGAAAACAACAACAACAACAACAACAACAACAAAATTAGATCGACATTATATGCTTGTGGTCAGTCTTGTAGAGTTATTTATTTTACCAGTACAAGGTCATTTGACAAGCACAGATGCATTTGGGATGTTCCATACTCTCAGTGAATCTGTGCCTCAGGCTAAGTTTGAATAGAGGTAGGTGTATGAGTTCTGGTAAGCAGATTAACCAGCACACAGTAAATAAGACCCTCTTGTTGCCATTATAATTTACAGCTTTAATTGGTAAGGACAGGTTTGCACACACATGCACACACGCACACATGCACACACAAATATTTTAGTAAATTCTTACCTTTTCATAATGATTCATGTTGTCAATGTAACAAGCCAACAGATCTTGAAAGTTAAGTGGCTTCTCAACATTACAAGAAAGGTTTTGTTCTTTTTAGTAAACAAAGTCAACTTTTGAAATGTCAGTATTTATTTGAATAATAAAAAAACTTTTAGGATTTACTTTTAAAACTTAATTTATGTACATGTGTGCATGTCAGTGTGTGGGTATGTGCACAGTCATGCAGGTGCCCATGGAGGTCAGCAAAGGGCATCAGATTTCCTTATAGCTAGAGTTCCAGGTGGCTGGGAGCTGGGAGAGAACTCTGATCCTCGGCAAGGACAGCAAGTGCTCTTAAAAACTGAGTCATCACTGGGCAGTGGTGGCGCATGCCTTTAATCCCAGCACTCGGGAGGCAGAGGTAGGCGGATCTCTGGGAGTTCGAGGCCAGCCTGGTCTCCAAAGTGAGTTCCAGGAAAGGTGCAAAGCTACACAGAGAAACCCTGTCTCGAAAAAACAAAACAAAACAAAACAAAAAACCGAGTCATCTCTCTAGCCTCTTAGTTTTGAATTGAAAAGAAAAAACAATATTGAGTTGGTCTAAATGAGCCCCCACCCCCACTCAGAGTCACCTTGTAGATCATATCGCTTGAAAGGACATTGTTTTATACCTTTTCCTTTAGCAAAAAATCAGTGGTTCCCCATTGTCTATAAGGTAAAGACTAGAATTCCTACATCCATACTTAGGGTTTTCCACTGGTATGGTCCCTAAAAGGTTCATTCACTGGGAACTTGGTCCCCAGTGCAGCAGTGCTGAGAGCTGGGTCTGGCATCTGGTTCATGGAAGAGCTTCCCTGGTGAATGAACGGATCCATCTATGGACGATGAATGAATCTATGACTGAATGAATGAATCTGTAGATTAAGGGGCTATGGTGAGAGTGGCATACCTGCTTTGTTTTATCATGCAAGACACAGCCCCTGTGAGCAGAGCTAAATACACCTCTTTTCGTTATATACTGTCCATTCTCAGAGACTTTGTTACAGCAGCAGAAAATGGACCGAGGCAGCCAACAAGTGTGAGTTCTCCGTAACTGCCCAAATATGCACCTCAATATTCTCGGCATGAAATTTTACTTCCCTTGAGGGGACTCATATGGATTTCACAACATGCCTTGCTCACTTCTGCCTGCAAGCTCCTGCCTGTGCTGTATCTTTTCATCTAGAACGTTATTTTTGTGTAGTCTTCCTGTCTAAACGCTATTCACCTTGCCTTTTGATAACGAACGCCCTTTTCTTCCTTTTTAAAATTTGGTTATTTTTAAGTATGTCTCTGTGTGTGTTGGGATGTGTGTGCAGGGCCCATGGAGGACAAAAGAGAGGGTCTGATGCCCTGGAGCTAGAGGGACAGAGGGTCAGGAGCTACCTGACATGGATGCTGAGACCCGAGTCTCATTTGAGTAGAATGACTCATGTAGCCCTTAGGTCCAGCTTCTTATCTTCCCCATGCGTGCACATGTTCATACAGGCACTGTGTATAGTGTACTCAGGTCACAGTTCCTTCAGAACTAACAGTGCTGTTTCATATTTTTTAGTGTGGCCCAATGGGCTCAGGCGAACCTGTACTCTGTGGGTTCATGAACTTGACCACAACTCTTTCCCAGCAGGAGATACTTTGATAATAACTGGGACCCAAATCAGATTCGGGAAGGTTTCCCTCCACGCACACACAGAGTCCCTTTGATCATACTGTAAAATAGATGCAGCACTTTGGGGTGAGGAAGGCTGGCAGACATGGAGGTGGCCTTTCCCCAGGCTGTGGCCATCTCTGACCTGCTGAGCTTCACCTCTGGGCTACAGTCTTGGTCTTGCTCCTTTGTCCTAGTCTGCTTACATCTCAGGCCGGGATCCCAGAGATTCAAATTGCTGGTGAAGAGTTTGTCCTCTGCTTTCTTGGTTTTTTTTTCTCCACATGATGACCTCCTGCTGCTTGAAGTCCCTTCTGTCTTCCTCATCAGCAAGCAGATGCAAAGAGGACCTTACCGAAAACTTCTTGTTCAGGTCCCTCATGGTGGGAGTTGGGTCATGCCCTGCTAAGAACAGCCTTATGGGAATAGATTCTCCCTTCTGCTAGCGCACCATCCATGATTTCATACTTAGCGAATGTTTCTGTTGCGGTGCTGGGTCCAATTCCTGTGATCTTTCTTGATCAGTTGTAACTCCGTGTGTTGTGCTTTATTCTTGCTAATAAGAAGTAAATTTTCTGATAGTCACATCCTTTAAATGCTACTTTGACTTATTATATTCAGACTCTATGTGCAGACAGTCTTCAATGCCCACTCCCATTTTAATAGAGTTGTTGACATCAGGATAGGCAGCAAGCCGGTCAACAATAAGATAATACTCCTTCACTAAGTCTGTCAGCCTTCTCACAACCATCACCTTAAAATAATACCCCAGACTAGGCCCTCTGGACACGGAAGATGGTTGTTTGGCTCAAACTGTTTGGGGGGCACCCAGGCAGGGGGATCGGAATCTGTCCCTGGTGCATGGGCAGGCTTCTGGGAATCTGGTGCCTGTGGTGTGACACCTTGCACAGCCTTGGTGCAGTGGGAAGGGGCTTGGACCTGCCTAGGCTCAGTGAGCTGGGCTCTGCTGACTCCCCATGGGAGACCTTGATTTGGGGGATGTGGGGTGGCTTGGGAAAGAGGACTGGGGGATGGAAGAAGGAAGGAGGGGGGGTCTGTGGATAGCATGAGGAGTGAGTAGAAAATTTCTTTTTTTTTTTTTTTTTTTTTTCAGGGTATATACAATTTACTTTTGTTCAGTTAAGGCCCAGTTGCTAACATCAAATACTAAAAATTAAGCTACATAATAGCAAAAATGCATTTTTTTTTTTGTTCTTGTTTTGCTGTTTTTGTTTTGGCTGTCCTGGAACTTGCTCTGTAGACCAGACAGGCCTCAAACTCACAGAGATTCATATGTCTCTGCATCCAGAGTACTGGGACTAAAGGTATGCGCCACCACACCTGGAGAAAGTGCATATTTCAATCCACGTGATCTGGAAAGCACCGAGAGTTGTCAATCTGAAAGTCACAGACCTGCTTTCTGTGACATCATCCTGTTTCCCAGCACCTGGCACAGATCACTTTCCCCTTCCATCATTTGGATTCTGTCTTCACGGAGCTTATAGTCCGATGGAAAACACTAGGAAATCTTCCAAAAGTCCATGCACAAGATCTATGGGAGCCTCAGTGTGGTGGCGCACGCCTTGACTCACAGCACTCAGGAGGCAGAGGCAGGTGAATCTCTGTGAGTTCGAAGCCAGCCTGGTCTAGGGAGTTCCAGGAGAACAGTCTACCTAGAGGGAAAAGTGACAGGAAACCGTGTACCACACCTATAGATGTGTGCTGCTACCACAGGTCTCTGGAGACACTCACAGAAAACCCAGGACTTGCAGTCCATCTTGTGAAGGCTGGAGTCCATTCAAGATGATAGCCTTTCACGTGGAACCTTAAGTGAAATTCTGAGTGAAGTGAAGGGGAAACCTGTAAAAGTCATTTCCTAAATCAACCGAACTGAGAAAACCTTATAAAACACAACAAAGGTTGGCAGGCTGTCTCCCTGGGTAACGGCCATCACCATCAAGCCTGACGACCTGAGCCCCATCCCCAGGGCCCACATGGTGGATGGCAAGAGCCAACTGGTACAAGTTGTCTTCCACATGCCACACAGTGCACCCAAAGATATTAATTAATTAAAACAACTTGATAGAGATAGGAAAGCTTCTAAAAGAGGGACTGCAGGAAGCTCCAAACCAGGCAGGTCGGAGAAAAACATGGCACAGCCCAGAAATGCAAGTGATAGAGTCCTGTGGTACCACAGTGAGAGGCGAGCAGCCGGACTTTGGACTTGACTGCAAAAGCGTCCAAGAACCGAAGAGTTCTTCTTCATCAGGAGGGTGATTAGGAGTTGTGAAGCTGTTTCTTTCTTCAGGGAATGTGAGGGTCCTGGGGGTTGAGCCCAGAGCCTCGTGAATGTCATCAGGTAAGCTACACAGCTCCAGCCCAGAACTGTATTTCTGAACTTATCACTCCATTCTGGAAGGCCGTAGAGAAGTCCTGCTCAGGGCGGTAGCAGAGTTCTAGCACTCACTTCTCCGAGTGTTGTTTGCCACTGGTCCACAAAGAGGTAAAGTACCGAAATGGCGAGCAGACGTTAGGGATGCTTGTGACACGCCATCAAAACATCGGCATGCAAATTGGTGGTCCGTGGTCTGTCTCACCTGCTTAAACAGCACAGCAGCCAGGATGTGTTGTGTGAGGCAGGACAACGGATGCTTGCGTGTGAAATGTTCTGATCTTCCGGTGCTTCTCCTTGTAGGGCAGCGCCAGCCATGGCATGTCCCGCACGAAGTCCTGCCACTGCCGCTGGTCCTGGTCCGAGGACACGAAGACGATCTCCAGGCGGTGCGGGGGCTCTGGCTCAGCGGCCGCGCCCGCCCCTGCCCCGGCCCCCGGCCCGGCGGCCGTGTCCCCTCGCAGGCGGCCGTAGAAGGCGGCCAGGCTGGCGCTGAGCTGAGCGCAGGGGGCGCTCAGGCTGCACCCGAAGTAGAGCCCCAGCAGCGCGATGCCGCGGGCTCCCAGCGAGTGCACGTCCACCTCCTCGCCGCCGCCCGTCACCAGCTTGTCGCCCAGCAGCTCCTCTAGGAAGACCGACATCCTGGCCCACCGCAGCCCCAGCACGCGGGCGGGCGAGCGGGCGGGCGGGCAGGCTCACGGCTGCTACCCGGCTCGCTGGTCCGCGCGGCGGGCGGCCAGAAAATTTCTTAATAAAGAAAAAAAAAGAAAAGAAAAAACTCCAGGCTGACATGGGCACAGATGTGATGTATGACTCACATGGCTTTTCAGCTTGCATAAATTCAAAATCCTAACTTCTGTCCCGAGTCAGTTTTCTGGGTAAGTCTAGTTCTTTCAGGAGGTTTACAGATTCATGAGTATTCCTCTTGTCATTGAAAAGTTCAATTTGACCTACAAATTCAATTATAATTCCTTGATGCTCTAGCCTCTTTGTGGGCTGCTTAAAGACTAGGTGTATCTTCCCTGAAACAGTTTCCATTAAAGAGGAGACAGTGCTGTTCTGTTTGGCCAGCTTCAATTTTCATTTCTGCCATCTCCTGGTTTCCCCATCATTACGGGCAACATCAATCTCACAAATAGGACCAAAAAAGCCTCCAAGAAAACCCATTGTTACCACAACCAGGTCCCCCATGTCACTCAGCTTTCCTTCAGGAGAACTCTCAGTCTTGGGAATGGTTTTTGAAGTCAACTTTTGATAAGATTTTGGTGTGAATGTGGCTTATGACAGGTGCTGTGACATTTTCCAGAGACTGTCCCTCTTCAAGATCTCCTCAGCTGTGGGGTAGTCTGATGCAGCCTATTTTACCCAAGAACCCTGGCACAGGCATATTTATAAGATCCCAGAAATAAGCGTTTAGATATTAGCTTGGGTTAAACAAAACAAAACAAAACAAAACACATCAATAACACTGACAGCAGAGACTTGCTGCCCAGCACTGTACTCACAGACAAAGCTACACCATGAATTCAGCTGTGCCTGCTTGTAAAAGATCCTCTCAGTTGAGTTTGTTGACTATGGAATTCCCTTCTAGCAGAGGGGCGTGAGGAGGGTCATGGGACCCTCATCTGAGTATCTGGCCTCTCCTCTCAATCAACTGTATGCAATTCTTTCCTAATTGTACAAAGCCCTGGTGTCTTGGGGAAAGGCTAGAGTGTACATGGGGAAGAGCAGAGGCAGATGTTTCCAGCTGTGCAACTATAGGGAAGCCATTGTCCATGCTGAGTCTCTCCTCTGGGATTGCCCACACTTCTGTATGTAACCCCTCACACCATGCTTTGTAAGAAAGCCAATGAACTGACTGGTTCCCTAGAGTGGACTTTGGTGTGTTGGTTTGTCACTGTGACCTTAGGAGGAGGGGATTGTTCACATCTGCTCCAGGGAGGAATTTTGTCAACAATATCCCATCCTTTCTTTGTCCTGAGGCCCTCCTGTCTATACTTCTGGTCAGGAATTTAGGCACAAGATGAGGAATGGTGTCCCTTTGAGGCTGAATCCTAATTGGTCTTATAATAAAAACCTAGAGTCAGATATTGGGGTAAATGCTAAAAGATCAGAGGAAACAAGCCACAGCCACTTCTCATCTTGCCAACTCCTTAGCCGAAAGGGGAAGATTCTGTCTCCAAAAATCCTCAGACTGAATGCTCCTGAGTCCTCAGCCAAAAAGGGGGTGAACTCCTATTTCCTCCCGCCCAGCCATAACACTTCCTATCTCAACCTTCCTAGTGCTGGGATTAAAGGCATGAGATCTCAAGTACTGGGATTAAAGGCTCCCAAGTGTTGGGATTAAAGGTGTGAGCCATCACCACCTGGCTCTGTTTCTCTTTTAGACTAGATTAATCTCATGTAGTCCAGGCTGGCCTTGAACTCATAGTGATCTGCCTCTGCTTCCCAAGTGCTTGGATTAAAGGTGTGTGCCACCACTACCTGGCCTCTATGTCTAACCAGTGATCTTCTGGGTAAGTTAGCCCTCTGATCTTCAGACAAGCTTTATTTGTTAGAGCATATACAAAATTTCACCACAGATGAGAGATGGGCATGCCTTTGAGAAGAGGCAAAAGACAGAACACTGAACATTTCTACAGAGCTATGCCAAATATTCTGCATCAGGAATACTACCTCACTTTACTGTAAGCCCATAAACTATACACTAAAAAAAAAAGAACTACAGATCTTTTCTCTATAGGAAAGACACAGGCCATCTCACAAGGAAATTATCTCATAGAAGACGAATTTGAAAGTATTTTTCTAAAAATAGCTCTTCATCAGTGGGGTAACAGCTCCATGGATAAAGTACTTGACACACAAGCATGAAAATATGAATTCAATTCCCCAAACCTACATCTAAAAAAATAAGCCACATATGGTAGTATAAGCTTTTTTTTTTTTTTTTTCCAGAGCTGAGGACTAAACCCAGGGCCTTGCGCTTGCTAGGCAAGCACTCTACCACTGAGCTAAATCCCCAGCCCCAGTAGTATAAGCTTTTAATCAGCCTTGGGGAGGGAGACATGGAGTGAATCCCTCGGGCTCACTGTCCAGTCAGTCTAGACTAATTGGTGAGCTCTAGGCCAGTCAGAGTCCTTGCCTCAAAAAAGACACACACACACACACACACACACACACACACACACACACACACACGCACACACACACAAGTTAGGCATCAGAAGTTGTTCTCTGGCCTCACATACTCCACCACACTCATGCACTCACATAAATATGCACACATAGGCACACATACATATGCATGCACACACAAAATAGTTCATACATTTGCAAGAAGTATCTTGTTAAGACTCCAAAACAACCCTCTAAAGTACAAAAGGCATGCAAAAGTGGCAATGACTTATTTGTCCACGTCTCCTGCTATACTGCAGTGTCTGAAGGTTAGAATCTGCATTGGGATCGAGTATACCCATGGTACACAGGAGTTCCACAAGTATGTGCTGAGTTAGAGAAGAGACCCCTCTATTCAAGGGTGAGGAAACTGACCATCAGGCATGAGCAGTGGCCTGCCCAAGGACATTTGCTATAGGCAAATGAATAAGTGAGGATCCCAATGTCAACCTTCGGACCCCGGGTCCCAATAACTTACTACTATTTGTTGCTCAAGCACATGAGGAAATCCCACTTAGCAAAAACTGAAAGGAAATTTGGGATTATAAATGGAGTTTAGCTCGGGCTTTCAGAGTTTCTTTATAAATATGCTATTTGTAGAATAAATGCGCACAATTGGGGAAAGAGTCCATGAGTAGAGTTGAAGTTTACTGTGAGAGAAAGACTGTGGTCACAGACTTGTCCCGTACATGCCACCGGACCTGGATTGATTCCACAGTCCCAATCACGTGCTTCTCCACATGACATGCAGCTGGTCACACCGGCCAGGAGTGAACCATTGCATCCCATCTCCAAAATAACAAAGGCACATGGCTGGACCATGGTGCCCTGCCAACAGCAGTCAATGTTAGTGGCAAGGCAGTTAGTACTGTGATTGTGATGTTGTTATGACAGGAGCCCAAATTATTTACTAGGTTGGAGAGACAAGATAGAGTGCACGTGCCCCACATTTTAACAGTGAACTAGACAGGATCTGAGTAAGACTTTTGTTCCCCAGTATTTCCATGTATCTCCCAGCCCAATGCCTCTCACTAGCAAGGAAGCTGAACACAGCATTCCTGATTGCTCAGCAAATGGAACATGAGTTCATTGCTTGCTTTCTGAGCTCTGCCAATGGGGAGATCCCCCCTCAATCTCTGCTGGCTATTGTGTGTTAGTTACCCTCCATCCAAGCGCAAGAGCCTGGGAACTCCTTGTTCTAGTAAGTAACTGCCACCTGGCCAATCATTTTTTAAATTCTTTATTATTTTTATTTATGTCTTTATGTGTATATTTGAGTGTGTTGAGTGTATGTACATATGCATGCAGCACTCTCAGAGGCCAGAAAAGGGCATCAGATCTTCTAGACTTGAATTTATGGGTAGTTGTGAGCTACCATATGGGTGCTGGAAACAGAATCCAGGTCTTCTGCAAGAGCGGGAAGTGGTTTTAACCCCTGGGCTATCTTTCCAGTCCTTCCATCAATCATATATATCACCAATCAGGCCAATAAAAGTGCCACAGTGGAATACATTTCTTCTAGAAGTTTCTACACAAATCATAATTCTTGTGGGGCCATTACACACAGAGGACCAGTGTTTAGAGCTCTTCTCCTAATGGCTTATTTGTTGTGAAATCATGGACAGAAGCAAGCAGTAGAGATCACCCACTTATTTCTCAGGTAGGTGACTCCTTACTTTGTCCTCAGAGAAGACCTGGCATCTTTTCTCCTGAGGACCATTCTGAGGCTCTCCATTGCCTTCCAGAAGACACTGAGATACAAATGCAGGCAAGTGTTACTCATCTTCTGAAATTCCAGAGGGTGATTTGACAAATCAAAACATTAACTTAACTAGTGAGTGGAAAGTACAGTTCAATGGCCTCTAGGAACCTAAAACAAAATGTAGTTTTGAATGGACCATGACACAGAAAGTCAGTGCACAGCACACCACAGCAAAACCTTTGTCTCTGAGCCAAAGGTGTGTCTTCAAACGCTGTATTTCTGATGGACACGTCGTGTAAAGCACCTCTGCATGTCTTCCCATTTAGTCCACAGACTCTGGAGATTCCAGCTCTGTCTACTCATACAGTTTTTTTTCATTCTTTCTTTTCTTTAAACATTTGTTTGGTGTGCATGTGCATGTGAGTACATGTGCACGTGCCATGATGCTCATGTGGAGGTCAGAGGACACCTTTATTTTTTTTAAATAATTTATTTATTTTTTACTTTTTATAAACTGGTGTTTTGGCTGCAAGTATGTCTGTATGTGGGAATCAGATCCCTTGGAACAGGAGTTACAGACAGTTGTGAGTTGTCATGTGGGTGCTGGGAATTGAACCTGGGTCCTCTGGAAGAGCAGCCAGTGCTCTTAACCACTGAGCCACCTCTCCAGCCCCAGAGGACAACTTTCAAGCATCAGTTCTTTCCATGTGGGTCTTGGGGATTGGACTCAGATCTCAGGCTTGAGGATTTCAGCTGCTGGAATTTTTAATCTGCTGACCCCAGATAGATTTATTTCTAAATGATTAATCAAACCCTCACTTAGCTAAGTAGCTTTCCTAGCCGGAATGGTGAAA